TAATTTTGCACGTGTGAACGTTGTGGTGGGGGGGGGTGTGGGGGGAGGGGGGGGGGGGGTTCCTACCTGAGGGTGGAGGAGTAGTACAGCAGGAGGTGCAGCAGCTCTGCTCCGTCACAGTCTGGGTTGGACCACACGGAGCTCCTGGTGCAGACCGTCAGCAGAGCTCGACCGCTCCGGTCTCTGGTCCCTGAACGAGGCATGATGCATTCAGGGACCAGCAGGCAACACAGGAACTCATAACTCTCTATCAGTACTATGTGTGGAGCCTCACACCTCAACCTGAGTGTGTATTTGTTTTATTGATGTTTAATAATAATATTAACAATATTATTATTTATAATATTATTACATTAATATTATTATAAATAATATTAATAATGATAATATTAATAATATATTATAGTTCATATAGTAATAATGTTCTTGCATATTATTATTGACAAATATCTATTTTTTGTTTACTTTTCTTTTCTCTGACTAAACCAAAAAAAACATGCTTGGCAATAAACCTGGATCTGGTTCTGATTCTGTTCTGGGTTCAGGTTTAGGGTCTAAACCTGGTTCAGGTCTACAGATTTTTCTCACCTGGTAGACAGAGCGCTCCAGAGCGCCGCAGCACTGTGTAGAAGCTGGACTGGGAGGACTGGGTGAGCCGTACTGGGACCATGGGAGTAGCTGACTGGTCCAGCTGTGGTTCTGGTTCTGTTGGACTGGGACCAGTCGAAAGGGGGACATGAGACTGGACAGGAGGTCTGCTGAGGCCTGTAGAGAGAGGACACACACACGCATTCTGTTAACTAGTCCTCACACTAACTAGTCTATAGAAGTCAGTGACCTGCCCTCCCACTCACCAGTAGTCCACTGATTAACTTCTCCATCATATAACCAGTTCACTAACTAGTCTACTGACTAAGTTTTCCAGTTCTAGGTCATCTACATCCTAACAGGAGAGACTAAGAGGAGGTTTTTGAGGAGGAAGGTGAAAGGGGAGGAGGAGGAGGAGGAAGAGGAGCAGGAGTGATTCAGCCAATCAGACGATGAGGAGATAAATGAGGACAGAAAGATGGTCTGTGGGATGAAAAGCAGGAGGTAGGAAAAGATTGAGGAGAAGAAACATGTTTCTGTACCTTCAGTCTGAAGCTCTGCAGTTCTTCCTCCACCAACCTCCTCACAGCTGATCTCCTCTTCATCCTCCTCCTTCTCTTCTTGTTTTTCCCATCCTTTTTCAGACTCCTCAGGTTCGCACCAAAGTGAGTCTGGATCCATCGCCGGTGTGTTGTTTTCATAATAAGAGTCCTCAGAAAGTGTTTGAAGGCAGTTGTTTTCAGAATAAGAGTTCTCAGTTAGTTTTTGTTGTGTAATATTTTCACAAGAGTCCTCATAGTGCTTGTGTTGTGTATTTTTTTCACAATAAGAGTCCTCATAGTGCTTGTGTTGTCTATTACTTTCAGAACAAGAGTCCTCAGAGTGTGTGTTTTCTCTATTATTTTCAGAATAAAAGTCCTTGGAGTGTGTCTCTTCCTCTCCTTCTCTCACATCTTTCATCACTTGCTCTTCCTCCCTTCTTTCTTGACTCTGATGCTGAACTGTAACCTGAACCTCTACTTCTACTTCCACCTCCTCTAACTCTTTGTCTCCCTCCTCATCCAACTCTTCCTCTGTCTCTTCACTTTCATTAAGTAAACCTTCATCCTTCCTACACTCTGCATCCTCCAGCTGATCTTCATCCTTCTCCTCATCTTTATCATCTGACACTACCATTTCATGCTTCCCTTTCCGCCTCTTCATCAGCTCTCTCTCCTCCCTTGTTTCCTCTGTCTCCCCCTCTTTCCCTCTCTCCTCTTCCTCTTCTTCACTGTGCTCTGTGCTGCTTTCAGGTTCAGTGTTTGACTTCAGACTTATGCCTGAATCAGTACCTTCTATGTGCTCCTGTGACGTCCAGCTGGAGGTTCCCACGGCTTCAGGAGGAGCAGAGGAGGAGGAGGAGGTGGGGGAGATTGGGGTGAGGATGACAGGTACACAGCAGTCCTGGATCAGGTTCTCCTCAATGAGCCTGGAGCAAAGCGTGGTGTGGGAGCTGACCTCCACACAGGGCCAAGAGGAGAGTGTGTGAAGTGTGTGTGCAGCATCAGAGTGTGTGTGTGCAGCAGCAGAGAGTGTGTGTGTGTTGTGAGGTGTGTGTGCAGCATCAGAGTGTGTGTGTGCAGCAGCAGAGAGTGTGTGAGTGTTGTGAGGTGTGTGTGCAGCATCAGAGTGTGTGTGTGCAGTGGTGTGTGTGCTGGTCCTGGCTCGGTGCTGCAGACTGATGGACTGGGTTAAGGAGCCTTTCTGTGGGGAGAAGCGAGGCAGTTCCATCAGCTCCACGTACTCGCCCTCCGAGTCCTCGCCCTCGCCGCTCACTGCTGATTGGAGGAGCTCTACTTCCTGTCTTAAGGAGCTAGGATTAATCAACGTATCTCCATCCTTAACGGACGACTCTGTCTCCTCCTGCAGGGAGGTCTGTGGCCGGCTGATGAACTGTGGGTAGACCAGGTCCTCCCACGGGACCCTGAAGACTTCTCCGTGAGCAGAGAGGAGGCAGCGCTCCAGCCTCAGCGCTCCTTGCTGCTCCTTCTCCCTGTTGACGGAGTCCAGCCAGGCCATGCTGAAGAGGGACCGCGGGGCTATCTCTGACACGTCCTGCTGCTCCACATGACGGCCGCCGGCGGACACGCTGCACAGGAGGAGGCGGGGGGAGGAGGTGACGGCTCTCCTGTAGGAGGCGCTGTGTGCTCGGGGAGGAGGAGGAGGAGGAGGAGGAGAAACCAGCAGGTAGAAGTCTCCTGGACGGAGGAGGCGCTGGTTCAGTGGACAAAGCTGAACAACTACCTTCTCGTGGACGCACAGAGGCCAGCCTTCATGACGAAATAACAGACCACAGTACTGCAACTGAGGAGGAGGAGATAAAGAGAGGAGATAAGGATCTGTTAAAATGATTCACATTACATTCAGGCTGTAACTTACGATGTTATATTCACTTTCAGTGCTGACTAAATAACACAATCTCTGGAGTAGTAGCAGTGTAATCAATTTTTCAGAATCAGAGTCTTCAGAGTGTTTGTGTTGGGTATTACATTCAGAATAAGAGTCCTAAGAGTGTGTGTGTTGTTTATTACTTTCAGAATAAGAGTCCACAGAGTGTGTCTCTTCCTCTTCCCCTCCTCTCTCATCTTCTTTCATCACTTGGTCTTCCTCCTTTCTTTCTCGACACTGCTGCTCAACTATAACCTGAACCTCTTCTTCTTCTTCTTCTACCTCCTCTAACTCTTTGTTAGTTTTAGATTACTTAGTGTAATCAATATTTTCCCCAACAAGGAAGAGTGGGAGTGAGTGGAGAGTTAAGACTAATTCACATCTGTATCTGGTTCTTTACCACAGCAGTATCAAACAAACAGCTTCACATGATTCTGGACATTGTTCGCTGCTGACTTCCTGCTGTGGCCTTTGACTGACATCTCTGGCGACGCCCAACAGGTGAGTGTTGATCCCAGAGAGTCACCTTTACCAAACATTACAAATGAAACAACCATGCAGGGTGTTCAACAGGGCAAGAACAGACAACAGTGTGAGTCGTCAGTGAGTCGGTTCACTCCTGACTCCTCAATCAGACAGGATGGCCTACAGACTGGACTGTAGTCCCTACAGACAGGACGGTAGCCACTACAGACAGGACGGTAGTCCCTACAGACAGGACGGTAGTCCCTACAGGCAGGACGGTAGTCCCTACAGGCAGGACGGTAGCCCCTACAGGCAGGACGGTAGCCCCTACAGGCAGGACGGTAGTCCCTACAGGCAGGACGGTAGTCCCTACAGGCAGGACGGTAGTCCCTACAGGCAGGACGGTAGCCCCTACAGGCAGGACGGTAGTCCCTACAGGCAGGACGGTAGTCCCTACAGACAGAAAGGTAGCCCCTACAGGCAGGACGGTAGTCCCTACAGACAGAAAGGTAGCCCCTACAGGCAGGACGGATCCAAGGATACTCACGCAGGCATTTTGCTGGAGATCCGTTAACAATTGCTTTGCAGGCAGCAGGAAGTGGATCAGGTAGCGAAGGCCGTCTCCTCTGTAGCAGTTGTCCACCACGCTGAGGACCTGACAGAGGACAGTCGGGGATGTGGCCTGGAAGGGCGGGTAGAGGGCTGAGAGGGCAGTCTGGATGCAGCGGTCCAAAGATTCAGAGTCCTGTGAGGAAAAGAACAAAGATAGACAATGGTCAGACTTTTAACAGTTTGTAGCTTCACTGCACTCATCATTTAATTCAGCTAATGTTAGAGGCTTTTTACACTGCAGTTGGCCCTTAGCTAAGATCCCAGGGCTACGACTTATTTTACACTTTCAACTTCAAATAATCAGTAACCCAACCCTTATCCCAGGGCAGACTCCAAAAACCTTCTGGAAGGAAAAGCTGGAATTCAGGTTAAAACTAAAGCAACAGGATTTTTGTTTGTAAATAATGAAAATAATTTTCATTTAAGATAAGAATAAATAAGATTTGAAAATAAAATTGAATATAAGTTCTACATCTAGATATACATCTATCTATCTAGGATGAGGGTTTAGATTAAACTATTTATTTAGATGTACAAGTTGGTGTGCAGCAGTTGAGGTACAAAAAAAGAAAATAAAGAAAATAAAGAAAATTAAAGCTGCGAGCAGCGATGAACGGTCCCTCGCACCTTCCCGCGTCTCGGGGGTACTGGCGGGACGCCGCAGAAGCGGCCATAAATATCTGCGACCATCAGACAGCGTGCCCACAAGTTAGACATATTTTTAATGCTTGGACTGTGTGACGCTGGAAATTATGTAGTGCAAATATTCCACCAGTTCCTGTATCCACTTTGTGGCGCTAGAGAACACGCGCAAACATGCATTGTGTTGCTCTACATCAAGTATAGACCACATCATGTAAATGTCATATAAATCAGATTCAGTTTGTCACATAACACTGTCTTCCTGTTGCCAGTAGGTGGCGCTATGACTTTGAGTGAAAATTGGCTTGTAGACATCCTCAGGCCATGACTGTTATCAAATATGGCAAGTTTGGGACATATTTGAGCAAGTCCAATGGAGTTACATCAGCTTGTTGTTTAATAGCGAATCACCTACAATGGCCGCCACGTCACAGCTACGCCATTCCATCAAACGTAAAGCTTTGAGTAACTTTTAATAGCAAAGGTCTTTAGATTATACTGACCAAATTTGAAAAGGATCTGACAAAGTCTCCAGGAGGAGTTCGTTAAAGTATAGCCACTAGAAATCATGGGAATATTCACACAAAAATCAAAATGGCCGACTTCCCGTTAATTGGAGAGCATTATCCCAAGACACTTTTTTTTAAGTCTTCATGTGATACATGTGCCTACCAAATTTCATACATGTAGGTCAAACGTAGTGCTGGGGCTGCGATTTTGAATATTTCTAGGGGGCGCTATCGAGGCAATTTGAAAGGGTGAAGCCAAAAAGCCATATGAAATATTTATTTCCATCACCTATGACAGTTGTGCAAAGTTCCAAGGCTTGTTGAGCATCCGAAGTCACAGAAAAATAAGCTTTTCATGGCGAATGACGCGTTGCCATGGCAACAGCGTTTAACGACAACTCACAATATTCATGATGAAGCATTATCAATGTCTTACGGCTTAGCTTACCAAATTTGAGACTGATCTGGGCAACTTCCTAGTCGGAGTACATCAAAGTATAAAACTTGTCATTTCCTTTTGCCAGTAGGTGGCACTATGACTTTTTCACGAAATGTGCGTGACATGGGCGCCACAGAAAACAAAGGTTGTTCAATGTCAGTAGACCATTTTAGTAACTTTTCATCATTAATGTCTTTAGATCATCTTGACCAAATTTGAAGTTGATCGTATAAATTCTGTGGGAGGAGTTCGTTAAAGTACAATGCCTGAAAACGATGAAAAGTGCCTAAAAATGCAAAGAAATGGGAGTATTACTGCATCGCCCCCTAGTGGTTGTATGGAATGAAAATTTGAGTGAATGTTACAGGACACAATGTGAACATATGCGACAGATTTTGTGATGATAGGCCACATGGTTTTGAAGTTATAAATATTGCTGTAGAAGGCCACGCCCCTATGAAATTCATTGGTCCATATATTCTTAATGCAATAAGATATCAACAAGAATTTTATAATTTTTGATGATATAGATCCAATAATGATTCACATGAAATTTGGTACTAATCAGACCCAGGGTCTAGGAGAAGTGAATTTCTTTTTTTTTTTACAAAATTCAAAATGGCGGAAACTTTTGGTAGGCGGAGCTTAGAATCCAAAGAGGATTTTTTGTAGAACTCATTCAGTTGCTCATGTCCGTAAAATTTTAAGTCATTTGGACATACGGGCTGTCGGGGCTTGCATTTCCAACTTCTAGGGGGCGCTAGCGAGCAATTTTGTCATGCTCGAGCATGGGAGCCATAAAATATCAAATTTCCCCGCAATCCTGATATGCTTGCCAAATATGGGGATGTTGGGGACATGATAAAGCCCCCAAAATGGCGTTTCATTCGAGAGAAAAAGAATAATAACAATAATTAAAGCTGCGAGCAGCATTGATCGGGCCCTTGCAACTTCACACACGTCGAGGGTACGAGCAGGACTCTGGCCATGCATTTCTGTGACCGCCATACACTGCGTGCACGAGTTAAACGGTATTTCCTGGTACTGGCAGGACTCGGTGACGTGGCCATGAATTTCTGTGACCATCACACTCTGCGTGCACGAGTGAGGTATTTCCTGCGTAGACCAGCAGCGTAGCAAGATCATGTTGCCAGGTCTTAAGCCTCAAATGTTTTGAGTGTACATCCGATACAATCATAAATGTAAGCCTTTAAAGATCATTAAGAAAATGAATGTGTGTGAATGTGCTTCAGTGTTTGTAACATAATATACTGTCAGTTTACTGGGATGGGGTTCAACTCCCTGCTGATTGTATTTGGACTTACATGAAAGTTAACAAAACAGTAGTGCCATTTGCTGTTACTTGAACACTTAAATTTAACAGTGTTTTCATTTTAAGTTCTTCTGTAACTTTAGACTGTAGTGAAGCATTCATTGTAACGTTTAACCTGATTGTCATGAAGAAGCTCTGGACAGATCATTTATACTAATGCCCACGG